AGGTAATTGACTGTGAATCAATTCGTTTGGTGGAGATCTCTCGTGAATTTGTTGTAGTTCCCATAAAACACTAACGTGACCGATCAGTGATCCGCCAAAATTTGGATTTTTTCCTTCTTCAATTACTCAGCGGCTATTTGTGCTAGAACAAAGATGGACAACATTCTGATAGCCAATTTCAAGTGCTTTCACAAGGATTCAAAACCGGTCGGATCTGACAGTTCAAGTTTCTCCAATTAATTTAGAAAGTTGAGCAATTTACACAGTCGATCGGTGATCCGCCAAAATATATACTTGAAGTGAGTATTGAATTCAGTTTAACAAAATCCAAAATCTTTAGCTGAAAATATAATATGATAAAGGTATATTAGTTTTAGAAATGTATGAAGTTTTGAAGTATTGACAGGTTGGAGTGTTGGACAATTCGTGCATGACAATGCAATTCACACATGACGACGACGTGTCATTCAAAGTCGACATAATGATGGACAATGTACACTTGATATTGTCATCCTACATTGAATGCGTTGGACAATCATTGCGTTGACATAGCAAAGTTCAAACCAAGTGTATATGGGGATTCTAATCTCTCATTGCTCAATTTTCCTCCTGGTGCCCAGTGCGGGTGCCAGCGGCGTAAAGTTCGTCACCACCAAGTCGCGCCTGCGTTCGCCTAGTACCCACATACCGTCAGACGTCCTTAAACATGGCGCAGTCTTGGGGCAGGACAATGGTTAGCTAGTGAAGATCATTCTTCGAGGTGGGCACGATACCTTTTGGAATTTTGAGTGAGTACTATTAGTCACTTAAACAAAATAATCTTTCTACTATCGTCTTTGCATTTTACACGAAATAATTAGTTCTAAGTTAGCGTTATTTGCAATAAAACTCAACTTCAAAATATGACAATTGAGAAATGTAATGAACAGCCGTATAGACAATTGAAAAACGTAATTGATTTTATATCTAAACAAGACACTCTTGCACAATGTTGATCACAATGGGGGGTACTGAAGCAGTCGAAACGGCTACTTGGGGTGATGGTGTAGATACTTCGTGTGACATCTCAGATTGCGCTGACGACATCTTCCGCTTTGGCTTCAACGCTGCCTGGGCTAGCAACAATTCGTGGTACCCGGACGTAATAAACTTCCCACTCACAGTCAATGTCTTTCGCTTTGTGTTTTTCGGCTTCTTGGGGGGTGAGAGTCTCATCGCGGACAATGGCTTGACGTTTGATCCACGTTTCGTTGACACCAATCTCAGGAACGTCAGATGGTTTGAAAAGTGACAGGCGAAACATCATCTTGTAAGGAGACAGTGGGCAGAGTCCCGTACAAACGAAGCCATTCTTGATCGCTGATTGGCTCGTGGAGTTGATCCACACGTTACACGCGATCGACACAGCTCGCTGCTTGCTGATGCTTGTAACGTCAGTCCAGATGACATCAGAAACCGCCTGTCGAATCGCTTGCTTGAACGGCCGAAAAACCGTTACATCCAGTGGCTGGAAAAGATGGGTCGAGTTTGCTGGCAAAAACTGAAGGAGAATGTCCAAGGCTTTGGCTTCGTCGAATACGTACTCGGAGTAGTGCGACGAGCAGCCGTCCAAAATAAGCAGCACTGGACGCTGCACGGTGGAGGGAATGTTGTCGATGAGCATCGAGAGCCACTTGCGACAAATGTACGAATTCGTCCACCCCTTCTCAGAAGTTGTAACGGCAGCGCCAGGGATCGTAAGGCTGTCACATATATCGGTAGATACACGGTCTCCAGGCAGCACAAAGAGCGGCGGAATCTTGGCCCCATCAGCAGCCACACATGCGACAATCGTGACGTGATAAGCGGCAGATGACTCCTCGGCGTAAACAGCCTTTGTCGTACGGTGGACCACAACCTTCCTTGATGTCTTCGAGGGTGAGAAGCTTGTTTCGTCCATGTTGAAAATTCGGCTTCGGTCCATGTCCACCATTGACATGGAGTGTACGAGCTCGTGAAAGAATTTGACGACCGTATCTTTATCGACACCGTTTCGGGTCTTACTGAGCACTTGAGCCTTTGCGATCTTGATTTGAGGGTGTCGCTTGAGGAATCTTGTATACCATCCGGTCGTCAGTTTTGGGGATTGCATGTCTTGGACCACGGAGACCATTTCGGTGGCCTTATCAGTTATTTCTCGGCAACCAACTGGATGCCCATCACGCTCCATGGCAAGTATCCAGGCCACCAAGTCGAGTTCGAACGGCCGAGGCAAGACTGGTGGTGGTCCCATCGACACCGGTTGTGAGTTGCCGTTAGGTGCATTGGTCACGTGTTCACGGAGTGTGCGCAAGGGAATGTCATGAGCACGCTGAGGCAATAGTGTGTTCTTGAGCTAACACTGCATGCACGGCCATACGCAACGTGTCTTTCGCGTACGATGTTCGTGGCGCATTTCGTTGTCAATTCAAATCGAAAACTTCTTAACGTTTATAAGTTTTGCCTCCATAATTTCTCTCGAGGTCAATATTGTAAGAGGTTTTGTTTTGTCCAACACAATTCGAGAAACCATGTTATTGGATAAAAAGATTTGGCGGATCACTTATCGGTCACGTTAACTCATTTCCAAAAACACGTTTATACCTCGAAAACACCAACCCTTTGCCTACCATGTTCCGCCGCTCCACCTTGCAAGCTTCCCTGCCGACTCCCGTGTCGACCCCACTTACAACCTGGGGCATTAGTCAAGGAGTAGACTTGTTGGAAAATCTCATACAACAGCGCTATGCTAAACAAGAGCGCTACTCCACCGTTCTTACTGACGAGCCCGACGTACTACCGACTGTACTACAGTAGCAAGCACTTACTGTTTGGACGCAAGCTCGAAGTGTCAGTGGTACCGAATGGACTCGCGATCAACTGAACCAGGTTCTACATTCCCAAATATACCTGGTAATCCACAAGTGGGTCGCGGCGCCCCGAGCACACCAACAAGCTACACCAACGACCATGGCCTCGCTTCCGCCAGGCCCCGGCAAGCAGCAACCAACACCTCCGACACTGTCGGACACCACGACCACGGCAACCCCTATGGCTACCGTCATTGTCCACCGCAATGGCATCCCCACCGCCATACTGGTGCTGGCTACTGGCATAATTCGCCAACCTCACCCATCCTCATCCGAGAACGACTCTGCCTCCGACACCACCAAGAGCCCTGTTGACCCGCCTCTCACTGCCCGCCAACTCCGGTGGAAGCATGCCGCAGACACGTTCCTCGCTCGCCACGACCGCAAAAGGACTAAACGGGCCGCTAATCGGCCGCGCCATACGCATACACGGCCTACCCGGCCCGGCACAACCAGCCCCACCCCAGAAGTCACACAGCTCCCTCAACCGGCCGCGCCCCTCTCCGATGACGACCGACCCATCCACCCCAGATCGACGCGCACCCCACACACCGCCACCCCCCCACGCAAAGCTACGCCACTCAAGACAAGTCCTACTACGCCATCCGCACCGACTCATACTCCCTCCCACCACTTCAAGCCGGCCAAAGGCTCATCCACACAGAGCTCCCTTCCCGACATATGGCGTCAACCCCAGCACAACGCACTGGCGCCTCCTCCTATCACCTCCCCATATACCAACGCTCCTATCCCTGCACCCATTACTGCCCAACATGGGACTCCATAAACACCTATAATTGCCACCCCACCACATGGGACACGCCACTCCCGTCTGCAGCCACTGCTTCCACCTCCACGCACATCAATCCACACGCAGCCTACGCACAGACGCATGAATCTACTGCCCACCTACACACGGGTCCCTCTGCAACGCGACCTGCCCCTCTATTGTACAGCCCATGCCCACTCCAGCCTCAGCACCTGACCCACGTCCCTCAACTGTTGTACTGCTATCAATCCAGGAACCCCCCTGCGTCACGCACTGGACCAACACATACAACCCCCACACCAACTACCACAGCCCCAGTCACGATACATCACACGGCCCACTTGCCCCCACCCACCGGGATATCCCACTACTCCCATCCCATCCCCCCGCTGGACAGAAAAGCCCACACCAACCAACTGATAAGGTAGTACATCGATTTTCTGAACCACATCTAACCATTTCAATAACTACCAATTAGATCGCCCAATTTGGCGATCATGGTTTTTGATTGGATATGATATTATTTCACCGTGATGAAAAAACCACGCTATTTTTTTACACCATGACAAATAAATTTCATCGTCTCTGGCCAATCCATTGAACGATGGTGGCCACGTACGAGCAGATCCATGAAGCCATTCGACGGGTTGAGGCAGGCGAGTCAAAAGTAGCAGTCGTGCGCAGCTATCCTGTGACCAAGACCACATTGTTTCACTACATCAAAATGATGAAAACGACAGGGACGGTCGAACGACAAAAGCGTGGGCCGAAACAACTCCTCCCCCCGGGCATCGACGAGGACTTTGTTGAATGGATCGCCGCCATGCAGCGACGTGGATGGCCGGTTGACGCTTCAAACGTCCAACGGCGTCGACAAGGATATTGGTGCTGCAACGTGGATTAGAACTCAAGTCGCCGCTCGCGAAGATGTTCTCACCGTACCGGCGAGGCACACCGGCAAGGAAAGAAAGCGTGTGTCAACGGACGACGAGTGGTTCTCGATGGCAGGCTTGCATGCCGCTGCCTCCATTCCTAACAAGCGCAAAAAAGCTTCCATTGCAAACAGACGTAAAAAGATCGTGTGAATTTTTAATGACTCAATTCATTAAATTTTGATGAAATTTAATATATTGTAATTGGAATTTGCGCGACGGCTGTCACGCAGAATTTGATTGGCTAAAATTGAGTCTATTACCAAAAGTACTCACTCAAGATTGCATTGACGAAGACTTCCGCACGAGCCGGACCAGCGATACAAGTCGAAGCTGAGATGGCCGGGCAGTTGACTCAAGATTGCATTGACGAAGACTTCCGCACGAGCCGGACCAGCGATACAAGTCGAAGCTGAGATGGGCGGGCAGTTCGCTTCCTCGAATCACCATCACACAGGTTTCGTATGTACAACGCCACTGGTTCAAAGTGCTGTGACTCATCATCTTCTGTAGGATGCGTGGGCATGACAAGTCCAGTCTCGTGGCAAACGCGCTCGAACTGGTTCATCATGAACTTCCACAGCAACAAGACTTTGCGCTGCCGCGTGGAAGCCAAGTCTAAAGGCACGATGTATCGATATGGTGGATGAGAGCTACTCGTGTTTCCTAGCCACCACATTCTCCAAGCCGAAGCAGAGTCCACGGATGGGAATTCAAATTCCAATGGCAATTTCGAAAGTCTGCCATGCCAGTAGTGGAGAACGGTTGGGGTTGTTGTGGTAGGCACCGGTGACGACCCAGGGGGGTCAGCTGGTTGGGGGCCAAGTCTGGCAACGAAGTCCGACAATGTTCATTCCAGGCATTGTCGTGTAATAATCCCAGCAGATACCCCATGATCCTCCAAGAGTGCACCCAATCGTGTTGAAATTGTGTCGGGTAAATCCATTATCGCAGTGTGGTTTTTCTCAAGTGACTTGAAAATGTCGACGTGGGGGGGGATTCCTGTTGGGGCGACACGGTCGGATGCAATTGTAACATGGGATTTAAGTGTTGCCAAAATGGATGAATTCGCAAAAATTGCTGACGACATTAGTGGATGCTTCGCAGGCATGACTTGAACCAACCAATCATGATGATAAACGAGGGAAGCCAAAAAATAGCATAGGACCTTCCACAAGTGTGATTCCAGAGCCAAAATCGGGAACGTGATAGCAATTGCATGACGGAGATTGTCATCCATAGCAGGTGGAAAATGAGGCGGTAAAATTGCAAACTTAGATTTGTGATTTGGTAATCCAGCCACAGCACGACCAAGATACTGGTCTCCAGCGCGTTCATAGTGCACGTATCGTTCCAACACATGGCCCAAAGTCCAGCCACAACGCAAACACACACTTGCCATAGATGGTCCACTTGTGCTGCCAAAACACGCAAACGTCGCAACACCCTTCCGAATGGAATGGGTACCGATGGTTCGACACTCTGACCCACCAGACACAGCAACCAATCATGACAAAGGCTTTCCAAAGCGGTCACGCTGACAACCACCAGGGAAGAGAGGCCCAGTAGTCAATTGAGGATGGCTTGCCAAATACACTCCAATGGCCAAAAACACACATGTCGCTGGTTTCATTGGGTTAGCATCAAGGTGACGGGGGTCGCGATTTTTTTCACAAGTTTGGTCAGTTTTGCTTTTGCAGAAAATAATTCCAATTGCATCCACCTCGAAGGAGATGTGATCAAACAGAATAGTTTTCGTCGACTTTTGAGCGACACATCAGATTCCACGACAGTGACAAAAAAAGATGCGCAAAACCACCATCGACGAGCTGAAGAGACTCAAAACTGAGAGTTTCGTACATGGAATATCCCAATGGCCGTTTTCCATACTCTTTGACACCACCTGATTGAGATTGCTCGGCGTAATGGCGACGCATGCCTATGTAGACATTTCACAGTAATAAAGCATATTACTTTGATATACCTTGAAAAAGATCTTTCATGTCCTCGTCGTATTCACGTGGTACAGCTACTCCCTGTTGTTTATAGTAGTCTTTGATGGCAGGCCTGTAACTAGCTAGGGTCCCAGGCTTGTTGGAAGTGTTTTGAAATGCCCACTGAATGAACAGAAGAAAGTGATCGTACGTGAACACAGTCAAGTCGATGCTGCCGATGGATGTGAACATGTCCGGAGTCCCATGAGCGAGAATCCACTTCTTGATTTGGTTCAAGCCGCTCCTGCATCCAGCTTTCGTGGATTTGGACACCCGCATACCTCGGATGTCCTGCAGTGATGTGTCGTACCTCGTGGTCGCAGACATGCCGGTACTGGAATCTTTTGAAAGTGACCTTGATTTTGGCCAATTAAATTTGTTTCATTTTTATCAAAATGAAATATACTGCCATTTGTATAGTCTTGGACCCAAGATCTTTGCCGGAAACGGAATTTGCGCGACGCCCATCGCGCAATACGCCGATTAACCGGACGGTTGTCGCGCAAAAACTGCTTTATGAAGTACTCTTCTTCAACCTCAATAATTAGACGGTTAAAATCCGATGCATTAGAGCATCTCCACCGCTGCCCAGTAAATCGACCAACCAGTATCCGCATAATTTCCGGATAGACTGGGTCCAGTACTTTACTGGCCAGTAAATTTACATGAATTCGCACCGCACAGATCAGTTCATTCAGCAAATTCAGCACCCTGAGATACACTGCGACTCCAGTGAGTCCGACAGTGAAAGCGATAGCGACATCATTGATGCTGCCATACAAATGGGGTTCGCTCCTCAACCTCCTGGCATGCACGGTGGTTCTCGCACAGGAAAACAGCGGAACGTTGACCGTCAGAGCGCATACTTCGCGCAGCTACTCATGCAAGACTACTTCACGACCAGCTGCACGTACTCCAGCGCCATGTTCAGGCGCTGATTTCGAATGTCTCGTGATCTATTCCTGCATGTCATGAACATCGTTGCAGCTCATGATCCCTACTTCACTCAGCGCCTTGATGCAGTCGGTAATAGATTATATTTGGTATTCACACGTTTACGAACATATTTTCATTTATAATAGGAAAGCTTGGACTCACATCGCATCAACGTGTTGCAGCTTGCATTCGACACCTAGCAACAGGCACTGCACTAGATGACCTGGACGATCGGTAATTTCATAGCAAGCTGGCTGTTACTCGAATAATATTCATGTAATTATCGTGTTGGGGAGTCAACCATGCGTGAAAGCCTGCGAAGATTCTGCAAGCCCCACGGAGAGTGACATGAGAGCACTGCTGGCACATAGTGAAAGCGTGGGCTGGCCTGGAATGCTTGGCAGTATTGACAGCTGCCATTTGGCCTGGAAGAATTGCCCGAAAGCTTGGGCTGGTCAGTACCAAGGCTAAAGTGGAGAGCCCACTGTTGTGCTGGAGGCTGTGTCGGACACGCGGGGCCGCATTTGGCACTGTTTCTTTGGGATGCCAGGGGCAAATAATGACATCAATGTATTGGACAATTCGTCACTTTTATTTGACGCCATTCATGGTACAACAATTATTGGAATGCACCATATTTACAATAAATCCACGAAATAATTTTGTAATTGCAGTATTGTACTCGGTTCATTTTGCGCCCGACGCAGTGCCACCAATTTTTGCTGTTTTGTTTCAATCTCGAGCTCGATGTCCAGCATTGCCGAACGACGCTTCGCTGCAATAAATGCTGAAGCCTCAGCGTCGGAAGCATCAATCCGAGCAGTGAACAGCTTCAATTGGCCACTGTCACGAGCAATAGCATTGCGTTACACGATCGCCTTTACCATTTCGGATTAGACCTAGACAATACCGCCAACATCTAAATAAATTGGAGATATTTCAATAATTAATAATTTTGAATAAACACAACGTAAAAATACATTAACAGAAAAAATCAATTACATTTCCTGACATACCCTTCAATTTCGCCTTGGCCATTTTGGATCCCAATGGCCGTACCGAGGCCATAGCCGAGACCGGTGCCAATGTCACCGAAGCTGGCTCTGAGCCAGCTTCCTGTGGCTCCATGGCAACGCTCCATTTCGGCGCGTCCTTAAGAATGAGCCAGCAATGGTGCAATCGGAATGCGCTCTTCTTCATCGCAACTTATACAGCTCGAGAGCAGTCTATATATATAGAAATTGAATAATATGTTTTTCAATGACGGCAACGCTTACCCGCATGTGGTCAATACCGTTTGTACCAGACGGAGGGTTGTGGACTGCCTTCTTGTACGCTCCACAAAAGAGCGAAACTTGCTTCTGGATAGCATCTCGCCAGTGTATCTGCAGGCTGCATGTCGACCTCGCTCTATAGACTTTGACATCTCGACTGCTACACTATTGAGGAATCGAACATACTCGTGCTCTTTGTTGAAGATTTCAGCGACTAGAAGTTGGATGACTTCTGGTCGTTCCCAGCAATGGGGTCAAGTGACACTTGCAGCCAAGCACGGCACAACGTCTCCTGCTCTGCAGGAAGGTAGTTCCTGCTCTTGCTCGTCATTCTTTGACTGCCATGATTTGGAACCATTCTTTACATATCCGGACATATATGCGGATACTGGACTCCAGCAAGTCCAGTACAAAACACACAGATTGGTGAGGAATGTTCTGGAATATTATCAGATCAGTACTTTATTGGACGAGATTTCAGTAGCGGTGCCAAAATATTTCAGTAAATTGGCACACAGATATACTGATTTGCTGATATACTGGCCGCGGTGGAGATGCTCTTATAATGCCAAAATATAATTCAATCAATACTTAATTCAAGATACTTAAAATGGTTCGGGAAATAGATTCTGCTGAAAAGTCGTTTCAGCATCTCCCCCCGTATTTCTATTGCATACAAATATCGGTAAATTGAGCAACTCTCAACGTTAAAATATGACCCGTGAATTATATTTTCGCATCATACATCCAGAATCACTTGATTCGAATTAATAGCTGAGCAATGACCCTCCGAAGAATGGATGAAAATCCGACCGGAAATGGTTCCGAAATTCGATGCACTACCTTACAGGGGCTCGGTTGGTATTGTGGGGTGGGCGGATAGCGCATGTCGTACTGTCGCTTTGTCGGCGGGAGGGGTGTGAAAAGTCGAGGTCTGGTTCAATGTATGAGTGGTGGCGTTTGACTGGTGGTCGCGGTGGGTGGGTGTGAGTGCCAGTGTGGGGGGTGGGATGGGTGTGGGCCAGTCCAGGTGGCGTTGGGGCCAGTGAGGTTGCACGGAGTAGCTGGCCCAATCATCAATGAAGATGACCAAGTGGAGTATGACGCTGTCACAGCCCTTCAATTTCCGGGCATCCGCAGCCTACACGACGATGGCCAGCCGATCATGTACCGCACCATGTAACGTTACTGGGAACGTGAGGCACACCTCTTCCAAGGCTTCAACGCTGACGATATCGCTGAAGTGGAGAGCCACTTTGCCGATGCCAAAGTCCGAGGACTTCTTCCCTTACGTGACCTCTGGAGTGACAACCCCACATCCACCTTCTTCCACCCGCAGGCCACCAGTGCTGCCACGCTTGTGGATACCAAAGTCCACATTGGTCGTCTCCCACCACTTATAACTACCAAATACATCCTTGCCGCGCTCCGCGGCTCACGCCTCCTCACCCCAGTCGTCGACATCACAGGCGACGTCTATGCCACCCTAATGTTCGACACCTCGGCTCCCATGGCCTTTCTCTGGTCCACCTCTGGCCCCCATGGCGACACCAGACTCTATATCCGTGACATTGCCGTCCACCTGCACATCCTCACTGGTCGCCCCCGCCCGTCTGCTACACGGTAGTGCCGCGACTGTGGACGCCATGACCACCAGGGTCAACCCTGTGACCGCTTCACCTATCTCGACCCAAGGGACAAAGCAGCAAATCCCAACACACATCCAACGCTCACAGAGACATACGCAGCACGTGCGCGCGCAGTACCAGTAGACACCGCCGCGCGGGACAATTCTCCCGCTCCGCCTCCCAACACTCCACCCCAGAGAACCACCCACCACAGGCCCGGCAACTCCCCCTCCAACGCCACACGGCTCAGGTCCACGGACCCAACACAGATCTTAGTCTATACCTCCCACGTGAGCTCTCCACATATGTGGACCAACAGCATCGTATCGGCCACGACCCCACTCCGACAGGAGGTTGAGTCCCTCTGGGCCACCAAAGAAGCCCTCACCGCACTTGTCTCCGCCTCTAGCGCTGCCTTCACTACACTGGATGCGCGCCTCCTCGAGGAACGACGCCTACGTGAAACCGCGGAACTCCTCCAGGCGGAAGGCAACCGCTTACCTACCGAGGCACACATCCGACTAAACGCCGCAGTCGCACAACACGAGTCCCAACAGGCTGCCTTAGCCGCAAGTCTCCCCTACCTCGAATCCAGCGTCCACACACTCCTGCAAGCCATGCAAGGCCCCGACGATAATATGGGCACCGAGCCGGACGATCACATGGCGTCAAACTAACCGCGGGGTGTCGGCCTGGAAGCTACAGTCCACTTTACGTAGCGCCACCGATCTCGGGAGGGAAATCAAGCAGCGGATTTCTTGTCCAAATTGGCGCCGGATGATTGCGCTTCGTACACCTCCCTGGATGGGCAGGAGTCCGTTCCTCTACCATCACAGCAGCTCGCCCCGCTCTATGATTTCCTGGACCTTGATCTCGCCTTCAACCCTGGGTAACCCCACACCATTTTCCCCAGTAGTGTAGCTTTGTCTGTATAAGCTTACCAGTAATCCATCAACTTACAGAAACCTCTTCCCGGTCCGAGCTGTAGTGGGGGGGCATCTGTAGGACGTATTATGACACGCTGGATGGAAATGGGTGGAAAGGGTGCTCGGAGTGCTGATCGGGAGAATTTCCAGGTTTGGTGGCCTTGGAAACAAGCGGTTCTTTGTTGTACGCGGGTTGGTCGGATGCAGGTGGTACGCCAGTCGCGCCGTTTGCGACAAACGTTTTTCCAGCGTGTGATGCCCGGGTGTAGCCAGTGGTCCCAGACTTGGGTGTTTGCCTGTGTAGTGGGCATGGCAGTCCACCTGTCACCGATCGCTATGGCGCCAGCCGGTGCCAGCACGTGGACGGGAGGAGGTTTGGATTGCGGATCCATTTGGGCCATTCCACCATGTGGGCAAGACGGATATATTCAGCCCCTATAGGGGTTGCGGCTTCATGGATACGGAGCAGGTGACGGAGCTGTGCAGTGCATCGGTTGGTGCATCGGATCGCCACTGCCCTGTCGACGGCCTTCCGAGTTTGGCTAGTTTCCCCCCACTTGATTTTTGCGCTGGTGTATAGGATATCGTAGAGGTTTTGGACCGCCGCCTCTAGCCAGTCGGTGGTATCTTGCGGGGACCACGTCGTGGCCGCATAGGGGGGGGTGCCGTAATCAGGGGGGGTAGGCGGCCGTCCAGATACGTCCCCTTTCGTAAGGGAGCGTGTTTTGACGACCCATATGGGCTTGAGACATGATAGGCGCGAGGGCGTGTGATCGCCTGGGCAGAGGGCTAGGTCCATGAAGGGGGTGCCAGCATGATCACTGAGGTGGATGGTGTGAAGCCAGATGCCGCTGGCACTTAATTTGTGGGCGGAGCTGTGGTGATGTAGACGTCATCCAGGGCCACAGCAGTGTTGTTACGGGCGTAGGTGTGGTGTTGTAGGCTGGGGTGCCGGTGGCGGAAGGTGGAGAGGAGTCCTATACTCTGCATCCACTGCTGGAAGGCTGCGCCGATGTCTGGGCTGGGGCCCGAGCGGGGTGTTGGAGCGGATCAATCGAGGGGGTTGAGGCCATAGGTGTTAAAATCCCCGCCCATGACCACAAAGTGGTGTGGTCATGTGGTCTGTGTGGTGGCCTGTGTAAGCCATTGCCATTTTTGGTTGGTCGCCTCGCGGTGTGCCGCCAGGACACCCCTGCGGCACACCGCGAGGCGACAGACCAGGAATGGTACGTGACGATGAGGGATAGGAGAGAGCATTTTTCAAGCCGGACACAAATGGAGATGCTGTGACCCGAAGGGGGGTAGGATGTACAGTCACATGGCGACTGTACGTCGAGCATCGATGCGGGAGTGCCAGCGTTGGATATCATACATGATGCTGACTCCGTAATTTCTGATGGCCATGAGGTGAGGTGTGAGGGAACCAATGTGTGTGGGGGTCCAGAGTTGTGTGGCCTTGTGTGCGGGAAGGTCGGAGTCGGCGATGTTGAGAAAGTCCAGCGCGGTGGCAAGGAACCAGGTGGCCAGTTCATCTCCCAGTTTACCATACGTGTTTTTATTGATGTTGGTCGATGCAATACGCAGGCTATCTATCAGGCGCCGCGGTGGGGGTGCCTTGCCGGGGTCGCCAATGTAGGCTTCACCTTTTAGGGATTCGCGCCGGAGGATGTTATCGAGTTGGTGTCTGGCCGTGTCGGCCATGGCGATCGAAAGGTGCGCTGCGGCGTGGCAACATGCTCCAAAATGTATTGTTAGGAAGTATCTATTATGCATGGGTCAAAGTGCTGCCATTGACGAGAACATCTACGTCAAAGTCGGCTTCGGCTTCCATCCGCGGGGACCTGAAGGCTGCATGGTGCTGAAAGTCATACAATACTGAAATCAAGTACTAGTAAATCATTATCCAATCAATTTAACCTAACGTTACTTGGAATGCACAAATACCCCAATCACGACCAAAGCATGACTCTTTCTCGTGCTTGAAAAAATGAATTTCGAAGTACGACGGAAACGATTCTGATTGGCTCCGTTCGTTTTGAAAAGTTACTTGGAAGCTGTGGCGGCCACGTCTTGCGGCCCATTTCGGTGACACCCAAGCACAACATTTCTTCATATCAAACTTTGTATATAAGGAATACATTTTGAATTAGTCAAAACATGCCAAAAAATATCCAATCCGTGTGCATGAAAACGAGTGAAACACGACGGGTCAAAACATAACAAAATCACCATTAGCCAATCACGTGGTAGAAGAAAGCACGACTGACACACGATGAAATTTCGATCAATATTTTTGTCGAGTTTTGGGTTAAAATAACGACGGTACTTGGAAGAGGGCTAGCTGAGAAAAACAGACATATTGTCTGAAAAGTGCGAAACTGAGGCTGACTAATGGACTCAAAGGCTGAAAAACGGAAAGTAGCATTATAACTCTCAGCCAGATGCTGGACCAAGGTAAGCCTCTGTAAATCTATTTCCAGACGCATGAAATATACGGTATATTAATTTAGAAGGTAAACCATTTCCTATAAAACTAATGGCGATGCGTCTTGGTGAATCCTCTGCTGCGTTCGGAGAAACATGGGCTGGACGTGTTCTTGACTAACATCCTCTGTCGGTGTTGGAAGGCCAACCATGCATCGGTGAAATATAAAGGCTACAAGAATCGTCAAACCCACACACCCACTGTTGACACATAGTCCAGATCACCAATCTATTCCCCACGTGATTCACTACTGCAATGATGTTGGTGTTGTCATGATTCACTCACGTAATTGCGCCAACAGTGTCCCATCAACATTGTGTCCCATCAACACAATAGATTCGAAACCCATTAGCACTACAACAATGGCAAAGTGGCAACCTTCATCACACATTGCACGGTCTCGAACGAGTTCCGTTGTCATGGCCGGAAGACCTACCAAGTAACATGAGACTCACGTTGTTTGGAAGTAACTGTAAGCACTTTTAGAAGTCCCTACGGCCCAACAAGGATCAAGTCCATCACACGTCACAGTAACAAAGGGATCTACAGGAGCAGATGCAGACCTTCTTACTGCATCATGAACTAATAGCTGTCATAGGTGTGTAAACATGATGCTACATAGCGTTTTATTGTTTCGATGTATTACTTTGACTTCACTGCATAACGCGCGATTCCTCCATCATATTGTTGTTCGCTGCCATTCAACATGATATAAATGAGCATCATTTATTCGGTACTTTTATACTTTATAACTGTCGACTTCAGCGCATTGGTAGAGCGTCAGGCTATCAATCCAAAGGCCCCGAGTTCAATAATACCTATTTTTATTATAATCAGCACAATTTTCCATTTGTTTCACTGTTAGCCATGACTCAAATTAGCACGCAGCATTAGCGTTGATCTTGGCAGCTTACTCGGGTTTGGACGTGTTCCATTGGGTTTACGACGATGGGACTGGCGGGGGCGCAGGGGTCCAAGTTGTTGGTGGTGATGGAACAACAAGAAGTGCAAGAATGGCAGGGGAGCGTACGGGATCTTTGGCGGTTGGTGATGGTAGAGCAGACCGAAGTGTTGAACATGCATGTAGACGAGTAGCGCCCTCGGGGTACACAACTTGTGGGGCATGGCACGTGTCCTTGGCCTTTGGGTGATGATTTATCCCAACAATCCTCACGCCTACAGGTAGATGGTTGGCCATGACATGTAGGCGTGAGGATTGTTGGGCTTTGGAGGTAGGTAGCGTTGGGGCATGCGAAGATGTTAGGTGTGGCCTGGGGAGGGGACGTGACACGTGTGTTTAGTGGTAGCTCGTGATGGGACTGGCAGAATAATGGGTCAACTGTAGCGCACGTGTCATACCCCATACATCTGGCAAGCCCATCATCACCAAATACCAAGGACCCTCCACGACCATTTGCCATGCCCGTTCTGCAATTCATTTCCGTTACCACCTTACATATGCAGATACAATTTCGTTTAAACTATAAGAGTAGCTCTATATCAAAGATTATTCAACGTTAACACAATACAATAACTAACTAACATGATTCCACAGCTCCGCAAGCGAGAAGTTCAACGCATTGCAAGTGGGGGACCAACAGTACGACGACAACGCACGTTCCTCCCTGCACCTCGAACCCCTTGACGTCGCCGACGGCCAGTGAAACGGGATGTAGCTTCAATGGAATGAGTAACGTTGCGAGCAAATGTTGTTGGAGGAAGTGGCATACCTTGGACGTCATTGTTTTGATATTGCAGTGCATACAGCAAGTGGCACCAGTACTTGTTCGTGTAGAAATAGTTGCACTCACACGATAATTCACTTGGGGCTGTCGACACATGCCACCCATACCACTGCTGCATGTGGACTCCACACAACGATTCATGGCGCACATTGTTGGCTCGTTCGTTGTAGTAATAGGCATTCGCGAGGGCCAATGCTTGCCGTGGTATACTTGTAATACCACGGCGGTGTAGATCATGGAACAAAGCATTGTCTTCAGCTTCATCTTCGAACGCGTGCGCCATTGAGATGGCAAGTTCAGGGATGACGCCGCGGATTCGCACCTCGTGGGGCCGCAGTACGATGCCCGGATGGGGAGGTACGACCTCAAGGAGACCGTTCTTCACCAAACGTCGGAATCGTTGTTGCAGTTTCTTGCTGGGCAGAGACCGCAATACAAAGGGCTGTGCTTTGAACGAGGAATATTCGACGGCAATGGAACCCAGCAACTGAAAGGTGGCGCACAAGCCATGAACTGTACGTTGCGTGTAGATTCCTATCAATTATGGTCGATAATGACGCCAGGGTGGTCTCATAACATACCTTTGAAATGCTTGTTGATGAGCTCGCATGGGTTGTTCGTAGTGGGGAATCCACCTGGAGTATGGTAGACCTGCCAATTACAGCATTCCCCCTTCACTCACTGCCCTTCAAAGAAGCGAACGAAACCTTTGCCTTCGAGGGCATCACAAGCTGTCCACGCCACCTTAGCCTCGTTCCAGTGCAGCTGACAACGCCAACACTTCTGCTGAAGTGCATTTTAAACAAGTAGCGGGCGACGAGGGCCTTTACGCTTGTCGGAACCACGCCAAGCCGCTTGTTGACGCACGCCACACAGTGGTAAAAACACATAAGGATCGCTTTGATTCCAAGTTCTGGCCGCAGGGTCTTCAGCGCTCCAACAGGGGCCAAGGCGGCGTCCGCCATGACATAGTGCAGTTGAAGACTACTTCCTACGACGGTTTCGTACACGGCCATGAGTTGCTTCATCGCCCACTCGTACTCATCGGTGGATTCTCGGCCAATCAAGAAGAAGACAACGGGGTGAAATTTGCCACTAGGGTCAGTGATGCCGCAGATGAGAACTGGGTAGGCCAAAGCATTGATCTTGTAGGTGGCGTCCCAATGAAATACAAACGAGGACGGGTCGCGATGCATACAACGTGGCAGTGCCTTCGTTGTGATACCAACCTTAAACACACCTGACGCTCCGCCACATCCAATTTGAGGGACCCCATGCACCAAGTCGAACCCGAAGGAGAAAAACGTCGTCTCGTCACACCGGGGATCGAACCAGCTTGTTGCAAGCATGCGGGCCATTTCGACAGGCTTGCTGTGCTCGTGTAGATTACGCATGCGATAGTACCGGGCACGGTTTTGAAACCACTTCAGGTTCGGCATGGCGCTTGCGGGAACTGAATCCTTTAGCCTATGTCGTACTCGGCTTGGGGTGATGCCTTCGGCGAATAGCCTGTCAGCCTGGCTTCGGATAGCCAAGGTCGCCGAGGAGGTGGAAGGGGCACTGCAGTCCCCGTACTGACCACGTTTGAACGCCAAGGTACGACCGTTGACCGAGCAGCACAGAAGCTTCAAATGCTTCGAGCAATGTTCCCGACAAACACAAGTCAGGTACCGCGCACACATTTCGTGCACGCCAGGGCCTTGGCACACGGTGCATCGTGATTTCCTCGTGGAGTGCGTCGTTGATGGCGCTACGCGATCCGTGGCACTATTGTACGTGTCGAACTCGCCAAACAAAATCCATTCGTGCTGTCTTGCCTGTGACGACATCTGGGGTCCGATGAAAAAGTCAGCAACAAGGATGACATCGTCGCCCATTTCGTCCCCATCATCGTCTATTTCGTCCCCAGTGTTGTCATTAGCAGTATCCAAGACGTTAGAGCCCTCGAAGGTGACGTCTGGCGTGTCGTACGCCCCATCGCCCCATGTACCGGTCACATCAAACTCCCACATACCATCCACCGTGTAGTCCACAAGGCTAGCCAACGCGTGCGACGGGGATGATGTGACAATCCCGTCAAGTTCCCATGCGCCCCCCTCTGCGTTGTCGCCAACGTTGCCACGAGGTTGTCGAACGCATACGATGGGAACATTTGCTGCTTCACCAGCGTCGACCTCCATGTTGTCGGGAAGATGGGTGGGTAGGTATAGCGTACAATGTGTACGAAGATGTACCCGTCACATCACATTTGAGCGAGCCACCCTCTGCGTTCTCCATAAGATCGGCCAACGGGTGCAATGGGGGTGACAGAGCAGCAGCTGCTTCACCAGTGTCAGGGCACAAGATGTGGTGAAGGTGGATGGGTATCGCGTGCGATGGGTTCGGCGTTCGGATCACATCAACTTTGCATGGACTACCCCCTGTGTTCGCCATAAAATAATCAAAGTGGGGGAGATGGGGGTGTCATTTCAACTTCGGCGTCGTCGTGCCACAAGATGTGGCGAAGATGGACTGGAATTGGTGGTACCATTTGGACAGATTTTCTAATAGACAATCGGCTCAAATTCAAACAGCGGTGGATGATCTGTTTGGCTGCATCTGGTTGTAAAAAAATTAACGAATATAAAATAACTTGAACGTATTAGCATCTGTGGACGATTAATAATATTCTAGCACTTCATTTCTACAGCAAAGACGGAGATAAGGAACGGTGACAGGCAGTACATGAAAACAACAATACAACACAAAGTCGATTCATCTTTAATTAAAGTCGGTAACCGCGACGATATACAGCAAATAGCTCCTTGCCGGCTTTGACATACTTCAATAGTTTGATACAAATCACGTTTCCACTTCTCATGAGCTGGCAATTCTTCAAACACCCCGACCTCCCGCGAGTTTCACGATTGACAAAGGACCCAAGTGCACGGCCAGCAACTGGGTCTTTGAGACCCATGAGCCACGATTTCGTTGTCACAACGCCAACCTGACACGCGTACTCATGATCCGTTGGCTCTTCGTACACATTTTCCCCGTCATAGACTGTGCAAATGTCACTAGCAGACAAATCAACGTTTGCAAACAATCCTCGAGCAGCACCAGGAACCGTCGAATCATCGATCTTCACGATTGGATTCGCTGCATGGTAAGCCCCACGGACGCGTGCGACGGCAAATGTAAATAGTGCACGCTGTTTTAGACGGAAAGTCTTGCCAGCCATCGCTTGCAACGCTTCACGCGTTGCCTTTCGCTGCTGCTTGCGTTGCCGTGCCTTGGCCTTTTTCTCGTCGATTGACTTCTTTTTGAAGAGGGTCACCTTCAAGCCATGCTTGGTTTTGCAGTGGGCTCGGAAGGCGCGCTCATTGACGTAATGCACGGTGCACCTTGGACAGTAGAACAAGCCGTCCGACTTACGGACACTACTTCCGACATTGTAAATCCGCAATTGGTTATTTAAATAAACGAGTTGCATTTCTGCGAGGGTCGCTTTTCCGGTAAAATATCTTGAGTTTGATTGGTTGAAAATGTGAAATACTACTACGTAGTATTTGCAAGGTCGAGTTGCATTTCTGCCAGGGCCGCTTTTCCGGTAAAAGGTATCTTGCATATGATTGGTTAAAAATGTGATAATAGGGAAAGCACGTGATTGGATTAAAGCGCACAGTAGTATCTGTAATACCGGTATGTAGCCCAAGGTTGCACAGCTGTCAGCTTCAAAATGAATGCAAAACGACACGCATTCAGTGGGTTCGTCCGGTATTCAGACCTCATTTCGCGTTTTTAAGCTATTGAGTCCGTTCTTCACAGGTTGCCCTTGGAAGAGGCCCTAAGTATTAATAGTAAGTATACTTCGATTGTTGGTAGTGGATGGACCCTAGTCCCACTGTTTCGATGTATATTGTTGAACAGTATTCTTCAAGGTTGAATTAGGGCTATCTTCTGATCATGTCAAAATTCACAATTTTGACTTTAACCAGCAATAACTTGGTGAAGCATATAATCCTTCAAAGGTTACTTGTATGATATAGCGCGTTCAATCTTCTATAACAGCATAGTTGAAAGTTAGTCCAAATCGTCTTATTTGTTGAGAAAATGTAAAAAAGCTAAGGAGTCGATTTTCGGGCCATCTACTGGTTTTTTACGTTACATTCGTTTTACCCAAACGCACGGTATACAATCAATCGCCACACGTCTTGGAATAACTGTCCCCCATATCAACAAGCCGCCATGAACCGCATGATGTGATGATGGATGGCTTAATTGTCGGGCAAAAACTGGGGTGCCACACGTGCTTTCGTGGATTGTTCAAACAGGTAGCCATTTTGCAGGAGCTTTTCTTCGTGGTACTTTGGCGTGACAAAGGACACGCCGAACGGCACCGAGTGGTCGTACCCCAAGGGTACCGAGAGGATGGGCCACCCCGCAATCGAATGGTATCCGGGGGAGTTGGGTGCCAGGGACCACGTGAGGGTGAGAGCAAAGATCACGTCGGCTTGCGTGTCCTTGATGTACTTTTCAATGCCGTTGGTCACGGCCAGATCTTGGCACAGGGCCAGCGCATCCAGGTAGGTGCTACTGGTTTTGTTTGGGCTGTTGAGCGACTGCAACATCAACGACTAAAAGCAGGTTCGAATGAAAAGTCGCCGTGACGCGACGACAAGGCAGGTCTTACTTGATCGAGCACATTGAGCTCCGTGTCGGGATGTGCAGCGTTGTAATCGGTAATGTCCTGGAGGGTTTTCATTGGCGTCACGCCCTCTTTCCACGTCAACGTGCTCAAGTACGCTTCGAGATCGACTTTGAATTCGGTCGTCATCGCTACGTACTGTATGTATCACCACCACATATGAGCCCACGACACTTGTACAAACACAATATCAACGACACGTACATCGCATTCGGACTTCGAGATGGCGGCGGCGTTGGGGTACGGCGCGTACACAATGTCGGCGCCGAGCTTTTTCAATGTCTCCACCCCCTTGTTAAATGCATTGACATGGGCCGGGGAAAGGTTCTCGTTTGTGGTGTAGTCATTTGCTTGTTTGGAAATCGCCACGCGAACGTTCTTGAGCGACGTCAGGGCGTTGTACGTTTGCGAGTACTCGGGGACGGGGGCGTCCTTGGAGGCGGAGTCCGTTGGGTCGAAGCCGGCAATGGCTTGCAACACTCGGGCCACGTCCGCCACTGTGCGGCCCATGGGGCTAGAATATGAACGTCAATAATTGTTGTTGGGGGGGTGTCATACCCTGGAGAGTCTTGGCGCGCCGAGAGGGGAATCACACCCGTGCGACTTACAAGGCCTACCGTTGGTTTCAACCCGACGACGGACTGAAACGATGCCGGGGCGACAATGCTGGTATCTATACCGTAGATAAAGCCACTTAGAACCAACCACTAGTTCGACAAGTATTTCAGCAACAGACCTGACTCCGTGCCGATCGCAACAGGAATCATGTTTGCCGCCACCGTCAAGGCTGGATCAGACGACGAACCGGTTGTGGGCGCGGTCAGCACGTACGGGTTCTTGGTGATGCCACCGCGAGCACTACGAGACGAATTCGTCTGAAACATCGTCAGCAATGGAGGGTGGTACCTCCAATCGACCGTGTCCGTGACGCTGCGCCAGTTAGCCCACTCAACCATGTTGGCGTGCCCGAGTACGATCGCCCCGGCCGCGCGGAGTTTCTGGACGAGAAAGGCGTCACGGGGGGCGATGTTCCCCTCCATCGCAAATGAACCGGCGCACGCGGTCAAGCCGTCGCCCGTGGTCGCGATGTTGTCCTTGATGAGGATGGGGATGCCGTGGAGCAGGCCACTGCGGGTGCCATTGCGGTCTTGGGCGATGGCCTGGGCCAACGCGGTGGGGCTCGTCTCGATCACACCGTTGAGTTGTGGGCCTTTGTGGTTGAGTTGATCAATCACGTCCAAGTAATGCTGGGTATTATTGGCGCCAGTTAGTACCTCATCGATGAAACTTCGACAAGACCCAAACTAACCTGAACGATTTCCTTGACACTGAGCTTCTGGCTGACGATAGCGTCTTGCAGCTTGTCGATCGTCGTTTCCGTGTAGTTGAACGTGTCGAACGTGCGCGACAGAGCGGCTTGGAACGCTGACGCTAATACGAATGGGAGCACGATCCGCATGGTTGACTTGCCGGCGAAATTGAAAATGACGACAACGGATGCGCAGTATTTTCGAGGACAAGATGGAGCATTTTAGCCCATAGGGAGATTTCCGAACACACTGTACTTGCAGTTAATAGGGCACACCAAATCTGGTCAATTTGAACAACTATTGGCCACATGTTCCAAAATTACGCGCTCTGGTATTTTACAAAGAGCTCCTGAAACCTCGGAACCCCGATACCCCATTAAATCCCTAAATCACGATGAATACATATACTAGTAATGCTTATTCTCTGGGTGTAGGGAGTTGATAACGCAGAGGAAATTGTAATCGATTGATTGGCGTTATCTACATCTACATGCATGACTACTGTGACTATACTATATCTAATGCTATATATACGTGCGCTCTGCAGAATGAACTTCTGGTGTCCATGGCCGAGCACGCCGCACGCCAATCGAGCTTGGTTGTAAACTGACGTCAACTGTGACGTCGGTTCTGATTGGTCGATAACCCTATGACGCCACTGGAGTGACGTCGTTACACTGGGGTTATGCTTATCACCGTTGGTTA